GTGTAAGTAGAAGTAGCAAGACGTACCTGTAATCTTGCATATTTATGAGACAGACAAAAGACACCAGCAATCCTACCATCATGTAAAACAATTACAGGCTTTCGTTTTACACTCACTTGGCAGGACGGTAGTACCTCCCTGGGTGGTTTTTTCCTAGTGTGGCTTTAACAGCATATCAACTACTTATGTCTCAAAATGAAAATATATCAAGATTCCACTAAAACTGAGTTTTAATTAATCCTGGAAATTAATGTACAGTAATTTTTATAAAAGAATGAACAACAATTAACTGTGCATGACTCATTTTTTTTACAATTACCATTAGTGCTATGCTATTACACACTTCTAAATGTAAAACAGAGCAAGTCCAAGAAGGAAATTAAATAGATTATGTAATATATTTTCAGCTCCCTCTTCACTAATATCAATCATGTATGAAAGAATCTGTTTCCCAGGCTCATCGCCTCACATTTTGGTTTTTTCAAGTTGAGTGGTTGGGTGTAGCCTGAATTTTAAGATGCAAAAATTTACTTTAAAAGCTTATTATGACTGCTATGACAAATTAGAGTCAAGCTGCTTGTTACAGATACTATCCTGAAGACTTACCTAGTATAGACATATCTAGAAATCTAAGATCACACTGAATCCACTGTGGAGGAAATAATATGGTTCTTTCTTCTTGGCGTGGGCGTTCCCTAGGCATTATTATGGAGGGTGGCTGGTCATGCTGATGCTGCTCAGATACACCCGTATAATCGACCTCATAGTGAACATAGCTGCAATAAATACAATTATCCCAAATAACTGTCTTGGATGCATTCTAACAGACCAGAAAAATAAATGGTAATTTGAATGTGGTTTATGAATCCTAGCCTGTTTTCTAAGTAACATTTCTCATTTTTTGTCAAACTGTATACAGGAGGCCCTCCACATTCACAAGGGTTATAGGATCAAGAACCTCGCAAATCTAGAAATTTTACGAATGATTGGTGAACAAATATGATGTAGGGAAATATAATAATACTGTACTGTAAAGTTTGCGAATGTTTTGATGCACAAATATATTGTAGGGAAATATAATAATAGCATTTACTCAGCTTAACAATACTTCACTTCCTTAACCTAGTGAACCACAAACAATCATAAAACACATGAAAACATCGTAAAATATTGTATATACATGTTATGGGAAGCGTTTTCCCGTACTTTTTCCCGCATGGACATTAGGCTGGGCATTCAAGAATGTTCGAAGCTCGTGAAAGTGGAGGGCTAGCTGTACTGTATTTTTTTTTTTTAACAAGTCGGCTGTCTCCCACCGAAGCAGGGTGACCCAAAAAGAAGAAAGAAAATACTTTCATCATCATTAAAAACTTTCACCTCACTCACACATAATTACTGTTTTTGCAGAGTTACTCAGAATACAACAGTTTAGAAGTACTATATACATATAAAGATACACAACATATCCATCCAAACTTCTGTACTGTATAACTTTATTTAATACTATTATTCAAAAATAAATGTTGTATTAAATATCACTGCAGCACTATATGACCCTTGTGGGTTTAGCACTTAGTTTTGATTGTAATAATAATAATTAGGCATCATTTAGATTACAAAAAAAATAAGCCTACTGAATGTCCAAGTACCTATTGTACCACTCAACACCTTTTCGCACTTACCACACACTCTTCCTCCAAAGCCCTTACACCATCCACTTGCCCTAGACTTTGTACATTCACTTCATGAGGTTATCTTGTTCAGTTCTGTTTTTGCATGACCATACTTTGTTTTCCACTCTTAAAAGTTTACCTTTCAACCCAGCAAAATACATTTTAATTTGACACTCATGCAAGGGTCAAAACATTTCTTCTCAGATATACTCCCATTTTTGCTAAAAAATAACATAGGGCTAAAAAATTAGCACACTGTTTAATTCAATTTCTCAGATTTCTTAAGAAATATTCAGAGAGTGCACTAATCCATTTCATTGTATTTTCACAGATTTGGTACAATACTGTGCATTAAGGTATACAGGTAGAGCAAATATATTTCTGTTTAGCAATTCTCTTGATAAACCTGGTGCGTTAACTTTACCTGATGCTCACTCTCACACAATCCACGTACCCTTCCCTATCACCTGACATACCACATTCATATCAACTATACATGCCAACTAGTTCCCTTCTCCTTTTTTTTCATTTCCCTAGTAAGTATGCCTCCAAATAATACCCCTAATCACAGCAATGCTCCCTAACCTTCAAACAGATATCAAACAAGACCATAAAGGTAATAAAAGAGATCTCATTAGAGTATAGTCCTTACCGGCAGGTGTCCATGTGGAAACAGGTGTTAAGGAAGGAGCAGTCACCTAAAGACTCATCCGTGTGCTTTTGGATAATTTTTCGGAAGTGGAGCCTCCCACACTGAAGGCTTTTCTTCATTGCTCTCTCACACTCCTCTTTGGTACCATGTGGGCAAAATTCTTGAACTTTTGCCCCTGAGTATATAAAATAAAGACTTCAATTAACTTGATTTTTAATTACCACTTTCTTTTTAACAATACACTTTTTATTTAACTAGGGCATATTCAGGATACTGGTAGGGAGGTTTCACAGAATACAGTAACATTTTATTTTGTATTGTTTAAACAATCACTTCATTGCAGTTATTTATGATCATCTGAAGAATATTAACAAACTGTAATATCCTTGGATTCTGCCATGCAAAAATGTTGGTGACATCAGTGACTCTTACCGAAATGACTCTATGAGCACTGTCTCTTGGCTGTCTGACTGTAAACACTCAGACAGCCAAGATGTGGTGCCTCAGACATCTCGTCAAAGACACCATTGGGGCCATGCCAGGTCATAAAGCTGTAACAGCTTTATGACCTTGCATGGCCCACCTTTGACACAGACTCCCTCTTTGACTTTTCTGTCAACAACAACTTTATTACATCAACTCTGATTATACTTCCCTTCAGCACTCCTCACCACCCTTCCTAACTCTCCCTCAATCATATTATTCACACCTCCTGGTCTCTGATCAGGCATATTACACCTTTAACACACCCTACCCTGCAGTGCTGTATAACCCAAATGGGTTTAGTGCTTAGTTATGATTGTAATAATATGGCATGACATTACCCAAAATTGCTTATTAAGAACAAATAATAGAGGTAGAAGAGAGAGATGACAGCAGATCAAAGACACTTCAGATGAGCTACTGGGCTTTCAGGGAGTTTCAGGGCAACCAAGTAACCTGCTTCCCTGGATATGATGTTTAATTCTTAATTTTCCAAATTGTTATGGATGTGGCATAAAATCATTATAAATTGAGTTTGTCTAATAATATCCAATGATAAATGTTTATTGAATTTTATTTTTTAATGTGTCGGCTGTTTTCCAACCAAGCAGGGTGACCAAAATGAAAGAAAAACCCAAAAAGAAAGAAAAAACTTTCATCATCATTCAAGACTTTCACCATCACTCATACATAATCACTGTCTTTGCAGAGGTGCTCAGATACGACAGTTTAGACATCCCTCCAAACTGCCAATATCCGAAACCCCTCCTTTAACCCTTTGAGGGTCGACAGGCCCTCTCCGAAACTCGTTCTCAGGGTCGGCCAAATTTAAAAAAAAAAAAAATTATTTTCTCTTATGAAAAGATTAGAGAAACTTTTCCCGATCAAACGACACCAAAAGTTTGAAATTTGATAGAAAAACTTCGGAATTTGCTTTTCGCAAAGTTAGCCCCTCTCGCGATGTTACGGATCGGGATTTTGCCCAATTTGAGCCCATTTTGTCAATTTCACTGTACTAGTCGACAAAAACTGAATATTTCGCTAGTAAACTCCATTTTTCAATCGAATGGGTGCAGGGAAACCACCCCTTTATAATTCAAATATCCAGTACAGTGGTCAGAATTTAGCAAAATTTTGCCAATTCACACAAATTCAAAAGATGCCAATTTCGGAATAGGGTCCAGAATAAAAAAAAAGACATTCCTGGCACTAAATGACATTTCCTAGTCTTAGTCACGTCTCAGGGCCCCTCTTAATTCTTTTGCTTCCACTTTGAATTTTTTCCACAAAAAATATAAGATTTCTGTTAGCGACTACTGCATTAGTGTAAAAAATGGTATAAATATAATTGGGGCCTTGTGGAAAGAATATTAGACTCACCATTGACGTTATTGCACGCTTGGCACGATTTGTTTACTTTTGAAGTTTGGTAAAAACGAACATTCTGCTACTTTTGACTCAATTTCAAGGCACCCTTAATTTTTTATTGTAAAACCAGCAAAATCATTTAATTTTCAGTAATATGTCTTCATTCTATAAAAATGAGACCAAAAACTAGAATACAACAATTTTAAAAACATACGAAAATACACTGCAAAGTCGCTTTATTTAATTAAAAAAAATGGAAAAAGTTTTTTTTTTCTCATTATGCAAACCGTGTGCGCAGGATTTTTTTTAGACTGTGCAAAACTGACACATGCCCATTTTTCATATGAAGGCTTTCCAGCTTTCTCCACTAATTGAGGTCGCTAGAATTATGAGTAATAGTACTCAAAAAACCCTACGGTAAGACGTACAAAACGACGAAAAAACCCTCAAAGGGTTTTTTAAAACGCAGGCATTGTACACCCCATTTTCCAGGACTCAAGGTCCGGCCCAACCAGTTTTCCCTGAATCTTTCACAAAATATTACCTGCTCACACCCAACCCGCTTTGTCAGGTCCCAAAAACCATTCGTCTCCTTTTACTCCTTCTAACACGCTCACGCACGCTTTTCTGGACGCCAAAAGCCTCGCCCCAAACCTCCTTTAACCCCTCCTCCACCTTTTTGGAATAACCCCTACCCCGCCCTTTTTTCCCCAAGGATTTTAAAAAGCTCTCCAAATCATTTACTCTGTTCATCTCTCTAAATGACCAAACCACTTCAACTGCCCCTCTTCATCCCTTGATAATAGTATTTTAAGTAACCCAGCCCCTCCAATTTCCCCACAGGGAATTCTCTGCATAATATTTACCCCACACATTGCCTTAAACAAAAATTTCCCCATGCCTCAGCCCTCCTCGTCTCGCTTTAAAACCCGTTGCTTCACACCCATATAAGGTTTGGTACCACTATACTCTCGTCTTTCCCCCTTCTTTGCCTCCATGGATAACGTTCTTTGTCCCCACAGTCCCTCAATCCCCACTCACCTTTTTTCCTTCCCCAAATTTATGGTTTACCTCACCCTTTAAACCCATCCACTGAAAACTCAAGCCCCAAATATTAAAAAGTTTCCCCTTCTTCCTTTTACCCTATCCCCAAATGTGATACCCAAATTTTTTCTTTATCAAAATTTGTTTAAACCCCTCATACCACACCTTATTCACTTTAAACTTTCTCCTTTTCACACCCTCCCAAATCGTTCACTAACCTTTTTCCCAAATTTTTTTTAGAACCCCCCAAAAAAGCACAGTATCATCAGCAAAAAATAACTGTGTTAATCCATTTTGTGTTGTTTCCCCCAAAATTTAATCCCCCCTGTCGGGTTTATAGCTGTGAGGGGGGTTGTTTTTGTTACCCAAGGCAAAGCGAAGAGTAAACACGTGAGTATTTCCCCTTTCATTATCTCCTAAAAATACCCCCCCCTTTTCCCCCCTTTATTTTTTACAACCCACTTAAATATGTTAAAAACCTTTTGGGGGGTTACAATCCCTGTCTAAGCCCTCTTTTACTGGAAGTATCTCCCTCCTACACACCCTAACTCTTTACATTTTTAGTAATTTACTTTTTTTTCATACAGTTGCAAATCTGCCACTTTGTTTCCCCTTTCCCACTTATCAATCCCTTTTTTAAAACCCATAAATGCAATGAAAATTCCTACCTTAATCTAAATACTGTTCCATATATGTTCAATGTAAAATTGACCCCCTCCCCATTCTAAAGCCATCCTGCTCTCTGTCTTATCTCTAATTCCTTCAATAATAACCCTACCATAACTTTCCCTGGTATACCGAAATTTTTTTTTTTAAAAGTGGGCCCATTCCCACCGAGGCGGGGGGCCCCCAAAAAGAAAGAAAAATTCCCAAAAAGAAAATATTTCATATTATTCAACACTTTTACTCACCACAACTATAAATGTTTTGAATGTCCCCAAAAACACAACGTTTAGAAGTATTTGTATAAAGATATACAACATATCCCCCCAAACTGCCCAAAATCCCAAAAACCCCCTTTAAAATGCGGCTTGTACAGTGGACCCCCACTCGATGGCATCGACATTCAATAAATCCCAATTCGATGCATTTTAATGCAAAAAATTTTCCCGAATTAGATGGAAAAACCCGCATTCGATACGTTCATACGAGAGTGTCCCCATGTGGCCCCGGGCGCCCGTGTGTGCCGTGTTTACAAGCCCGTGTGGGCCTTCTAGGATCATTCAGTAATTCCAATTTTCCTATTATCACTGTTTTTTGGGGCTTGTTTCTGCAAAATAAGTCCCCATTGGCCTAAGAAAGCTTTAGTCTAACCCCGTGGGAAAAAAAGGGTGAGAATTAGTAGGAAATTAAGAAAGATTTTGAAAGGGGTTTTGGGGTAACCCCGGAACCCATGCCAGTGGGACTCCAGTGTGCCTATGTTACAAAAAACCGTTTAAAAGCTTGAGATCTCCCAGTGAATATAGAAAGGACTGCCCTTCTAGATCCAGCCTGTTATGGGTTTTTTTTAACAAAGGGCAGTATCCTTGTCCAATTATCCCTTGAATTCGTATGATTTAATAGTGCTTCAGGATTTTCAACTGGTGGCTCTAAATAGAGAAATTAAAATTAATAAAATTTTTTAATTAAGTTGTCTAGGCGATATCAAATTAAAATTAAAATTTAAAATTTAAACAATAATCAAAAAAATATTTAAACACTTTCCGTGTACAGTATTTTTTGTGCTGAAAGCACATATCACACTTATAAATTTTTAATACCGTTGGTACATTAACATTTAATAATACAATATACAAATAAGTTTGTGATGTGTGTGTAGTTTAAATACGTAGTTCGCTATGTTCACGATCGCTAGACTTAAACAAGTGTGACAAAATCCCCAAATAAAAACTTCTTTACCAACTGGCAATCAGAACGTCTGCTTGAACATAAAAAGAATGCTAAGCCCCCAAAAGCAATTTTAAAAGCAACTGCGACACAAAATAGGATCAAAGGGGAAATTTTAAAAGCATAAATAGGGACCATCGCAGATCCCCCACTAAAGTCACAAAAATCCCAACTACCCGGGTTTAAATTCAGATAAGAAAATCCCCTGTTTGACAAAAACAGATACCAGTACAAATTAGGTCAGAAGCTACAGCTCAGGACTTGAGTTGCTTAGTGTGTCTATGCGACACCAAACCCCAGTACAACGTCGAAAATCACTAAGTCTATAAAAGTTCTGGAACGAGTCTCCAGAATAACATTAAAGTACAGAGACGATCTTCAAAAAGGGGGCCC